GCTGGAGGGAACATGGCTGACATCTGGGTCATATTAATCTAATAGAGGATAACATTAAAGCTTAGAGAAGTTAAGAAACTGGCTCAGGGCAACACAGCCTATAAGTGCAAGAACAGAACTTGAATGCAGGTTTCTTGAGCCTAGGCTTCCTTTTCTATTACCTCCAAGATCTCAGTAGGAGTGAGAGAGACACAGTGCCTTGCAAAGTCAGGCTGGCTGTGACAGAGTTGGGCATTCTGTGTACTTTGCTAGTGTGTTAGGTGAGCCAAGATAGAAATGGAGATACTGGTGCTTGCCATCTACCCTGCAGGCACAACTGGCTAACGCAAGAAAGTCTGTATTTCTCATGTGCCTTCACATCATCACATCTACGAAGTCTCTTTTATCATGTAAAACACCATATTCATAAATGTGACTGATACGCTAACCTTGTTGGATTAAGAAATGCCTAGCAGATTAGTACAGCATGCCCCCGTGTTTGTCTGGGTGGGCCGTGGAGGCCTTGGGTACTATATATAGTCCCTCATCCATTTCTCTTGGGAAATATTTCCTTCTTTGCTTTCTGGCTGTCATGAGGTGAATAGCTTTCATCTTCCACACCCTTCTGTCACGACACTCTGCCTTGAAGCCAACCACAGACTAAATCTCCCGTAACTGTGAGCCAGATTAAACTTCTCATCCTTTAAGTTGAGGGTGTTGGGTGTTTTATTCAAGAGATAGGAAAGCTAAGTAATGCAACAGGTTTCAGTGATTGGGATGTAGATGTCTTGGTCGGGGGGGGGGCAGACCATGATTCTTTCTACCACACAGCCTACCCCATGGCTGGCATGGAAGATCTCCTGAGCTACCTAAATGGTATAATATGACATGACACCAGCAAGGCTTTTTTTTTTTTTTTCTGGTGTCTCTTCTTCCATGTACTCTGGGCTATCCATAGAGCCTACAGGATGGAAGAGATCTTACAAATTGGATGTGTTTGAAATTATCTTTCTGGTGGGTCTGAGGAAGCACAGTGTCTTTTGCTGGATGCTGTGGTTCTAGGACATTGCTTTACTAATTTGACACAGGGCTTTGACATTCTAAAGAGTTAGAAAAATCTCTAGAGTAGAAGCAGAAATTTGTGGGTCTTTGTCATGAGCCTTCATTGATCATAATTATCTTCGAATAGCAGCCACTGTGGAAAATAGACTATTTGGGGCTGGGATGACTGACTGAATGAAGTCATGTACAATTCTGAGCAGAGGCAGAACAGTGGTGCAAGAAAATAAAGCACCCTGACAGCTCACATCTTTCCTTGCCCTTATTCTGCTGCAACCAATGGGTATCCTGCACAACTCCCAGTGTGAGTCTTTATGGTCCATGGTCAAACTATAGAATGTGGTCCTCTCAGAGCAATCTAGCTATGCACAGGTTCATTGCAGGCAGATGGTCCTTTCCATGGGTCCATTCCACGGGCTGCCTTGGCAGGAGCATTCTGGCAGACAAATGCTGGTGCCACTTCAAAGAACCACCCCTCCAGGTGCTGAGGGCGGCTTTTCCGATGCTCATGCTGTGTCACTGTTTATTTTCCCAAGGCGCCCAGCTGCTGTGGTGATGATATTTATATCAATAAGTGCTCTATTCATCTGCTGATTTCAAGGGATGCTTGCCAGCTGCATATGGCAACCAACCTCAAGGCGCTTCTGAACCTGATGTTTTCCATTTAGAGACTCAATTCTCAAAGGCTGTACCAACATCTGGGGCTGAAAGATCCCTCATTCACCCAGGACCTAACCTGAAAAGCAGAGCTGTAGCCAATGACCTTTACCTTCTATGTTATAAAGTAACATAGTTACTTTCTAACTTATATCGTTACTTTCTTACAACTTACACAGCTCATTTCTTTGAAACTCCTACTCTGTCTGAGCTCTGGTTTTGCAGGAAGGATACTGGAAAGTGAGCAGAGCAGATGAGCTTTCAGAGGCCCTATTAACACCTAGCACATGGAGCTGAGTTTTTGTTTTACCTTTTCAGGCAAAGAAATAGGTGGCTGTGGTTTCTGATTCTGAAACTCTGCAGGGAATGCTCTAGAACTCTGTTTTACGGGAATTCGTTATTTTCATAGTTATCTTAATTTCCCTCCTTGCACTGTTCAGGCTCTAAACCTTGGAGTTATCCTTGATTCCTCTTTATCTTTCACATTCCGTATTGAAGCTGTCAGGACATACACAGAACACATGCCTTTCCTGTCATGCTGGTTCAAGGCACTGTCACCTGTAACCTGATAATTACAGTAGCTTCTTCTCTGTTCTGTGTCCACTATTGGTTCCTGCTCTTCTCCTCTCCTCAACAAGAATATCTTCTCGACACTATAGCCAGAGGAATGCTGTTAAAAGACGTCAAATTATGGCACTGTCTGTTTACTGTCCATCAGTGGCTCCCCTTGCTCACAGGGTGAACCCCCAAGTTTTTTCCTGCGACCTTGAACATCCTCCATGAGGTGTCCTTGTCTTTGATGACACTGTCTGCTATTCTTCCCACCTTCACTCTGCTGCTGTGTCAGTGACCTTAGTGCTATTCTTCAAGGTTACCAGCTGCCTGGATGTGTGCCTACTATATGGCTTGGGTGCAGGTTGTTCCCTCTGCCTGGGACGCTCTCCCTGGGAGAACAACATGGTTTATTTTCTCACATCTTTCGAGTTTGTGTTTCTTGACCACCCTATTGCAACTGCATCCTGAGCTCCAACCTAGCCTTCTGATCTGCATGATGCCGCCCTCTTATTTGTCTTTTTCCATACTCTTGTAACTGCCTAACATACAATTAAACGCACTATCGGGCATTTGTTGTTTATTGTTTGTCTCCCCACTTTGAAATAGAAAGTGCACTTAAGATAGGAATTTTCTTGTTTTGCTCTGTGTTGTTCACTGATGCATTCTAAGCACCTGAGGTAGCATCCAGCAAAGAGCTGCACCAGTTGTTCAACAAATGTGAGTCATGTGAGAGAAAGGAATCTCTCCAGGATGTCCCTCACAGGCACATCTAGAGTTGGACTCCCTTTTGTCCACTCCTATTCCACTCCTCTCCCTGCCTCCTGCATCTTCCTGCCTTTCCATTTTAGCCAGGTATTCCCTGGACACATGATTGCTCAGATGAGACATCTACTGACTTTTCTTTCTCATTCACTTCACAATGCACTTGCTCCCTAAATCTTACGGATGTCAACACTGAAAACATTTTCACACTGAATCCAAATTCTCCCATCTCCAGGCCACTTCCTCAGCTCAGATCTCCCTTCATTTTCAGAAAGTTTGCTACATTTTCCTCCCCAATCTCTGGTTCCCAAGTTTGTGCTCAGGTGTTTCCTTTTCCCTGGTCCTGAACTTGGTTTTCTAACAGGAGCTCTGGCGTTGACCCTCCACACTTAAATCTCCCTGAATCTCTCCCTTGTGGACATCCAGGGCTTTGTAACTGTTCTCCTAGGACCTCCACGATTCCATAAAGGAAGCCAGAGTTACTGAATCTCCATGGTCTCCAGGAGAAGATGAAAGGCCAGTGTAGGTAGAACCCCAGGCCCCTGGGTCCTACTTCAAAATGATCAGCTCTTGGTCATACCTCTTCATACACTGGCCTTGCATGAAAACATTTATTACTAGAAAGGATCCTGTGGGTTACAAAGGAAAGTCTGACTTGAGACTGCAGTCTAAAGCCTGAGCTTCTGAGCCCTGCACAGGGAGATCTGGAAGCCGGCCTCTCAAGCCTCAACGTACTCTGCTTTGGACATACTCCAGTCCCCAGCCACACCAAAACAGAAGCTGTTCTGCAAACAGACTTACATCTACCATCGTGTTTGCCTTTGCCCCTGCTATTACTTTTGCCTGGAATACTTTTTTATCTTTTGCAAGTGCTTGGAATTGAACTGAGGGCCTTCAAACTGAACTATAACCCACTTTTTCTACTTTTTATTTTGATACGGAGTCTCAGTAAGTTGCTAAATTGCCCAGGCTGGGTTTGAACATGCAATCCTGTCTCAGCCTCCAAGAGTGCTGGAATTACAGGCAGGTGCCACTACACTTGGCTCTGGAATGCCTGTTCCCAGCTAATTCATCCCCCATTACCTCACCCCCCACACACCTTGTTCAAGGTCAAACTCACCTTCTTTTTGAAGTCTAGTCTCACCCTCTGGGCAGAATTAATTGTTCCCTGCTCCTGGTGAACTTTGCTGTTGACCTCTATTATAGCACAGCCATAGGACTCAGGGACGACTTTCTCGTACGTCTCTGTGGCAAGACTGAGTTTCTAGAGGCTGAGGCTATAGCTCAGGCCCTTTTGAAACTATTGCTTATTCCCACCAAGGCTGCACAAGGCCCAGATTCTTATGGAAGTAAGCTGAGTTGCTCTGAATTGTCTTCAAGGCAGTGAAAGGACAAACAATTTTCACTCCTTCCACTCAACAATAGGAGTAGGCTCCAAAAAACTGTCCTAAGACATGTGTCCTGGATCCCAAGTGTGAAGATGTGTGGTAGGTTTATGATGCTTGCAGCTGCCACACCCAGAGGGGCTAAGGCATGAAGCCAGGGCTTTGGGGAGAGGTGGTTTAGGGGCAAATTCTCCAAAGTTTGAGGTCCAGGTTCTGGTAGACTGGGGTGCATGGCAAAGGGGCCAGGGCAGGTGGGTGTGGCCAAACACTGAGTCTTCTTTGGGCCACAGGTATTCAGTGTTGGCGAGGCGGCTTCCTGGCTCTGTAGGCTCTCTATGATTTATAGTAAGAGCCTAACCAGTGCCTGAGGCATGCAGCAGTGTTCACAGCCCTGGGGGCATTTGCTCAAAGGCAGCCTAAGTCATTGCTAGGGGTATCTGGGCAGAGGATCATACAGGAGGTTCCTTGCCTCTGCAGGCAGCAGAATGGACTTCCATTACAGGGCACATCACAGTGTTGATCATAGGACCTCTCTCCAAGTCTACAGCATGGCTCCCCTGACCCACCTGGGCACACCTAGGGCAGCCACTGGGCCTCTCCTACCTGCGCAGTGTCCATCTCATTCAGCATCACCACGGAGGAGCAGTTATAATCGAACACGAGCCTCCAGAAGTCTGCCACAGTGTTGGGTAGAGGATGCTGGGTGACCACAAAGGCGGCAGGTTGCTTGTGGCTCTGACAAAGGAATGACACAGACTTTGTAACATACATAGCCAGCGGTGATATCCTGATGATGATGAGGCCCAGCTGGCTGACAGAGGCCCTAAGCCTGCCAAATAGATGTCACAAAGCACCTGCCAGTTCTGTTATCTCTTGGTACCCTGGTGGCAAAGGAGACTTTCTCATAATGAACACATTCTCCTCTAAACTAAGACATTTCATTAGGAAAGTGTCTCTTGGAAGGGGATTATCCAAATAAATTATTTATGTCTCAGAGCTCAGCAAATAATCATCATTACAATATGAAATGAAAAATTCTGAATGCAGATTTGCTGTTCCGCTGACCGAAACACCTCTGAGGATATAAAGGGATCCATTGAGTCTTTGTGTCTGTAATGCTACTGAGGGGTCAGGCTGACCTCCAAATGGGCTCATATTGCAAAGCTAGCTCCTATCTCCAGGCTGGTTTGAGGGCTGAACTAGCCTGGCAGAAGGTGGGCACTGTGTCCTGCAGCTAGTAGGGCAGGGGAAGGTACCCCGGTATTACAGCCTTGTAAGTTATGAGTTATCCATCCACCCACTCATTTGTCCATCCATTCACACATTTTTCATCCATTCATTTATTCAAACATCATTTGTAGAGCACTTTTAGAGGAAGGTGGGGAGATTAACACTGGTAAATTACTAGATGAACCCCAAATCTCAGATTCTTCACCTGGAAAATGGAAATCATAAATTCAAAGGAATGGTTATCCTGCAATTGAATGAGATTTGGATGTGAAAGGAGCAGCAGGCAAGAGCCTGACTGTAAGCCCACTGGCAGGGTGCAAACACCTGTGACTTAGGTTTTCATCCCGGGCACTAGCACTGCAGGTGGCACACGCTAGACACAGTACAACTCCAGTGGATAACTGAATTAATTCAGCCCCAAATTTCAGATGGGGGAAAGGAAACCCAGAAAAACATGAGCTATGTGAGTCTTGGAACTTCAGCTGGGCCCTAGCTGTCATATCACCCTGTGAGGAGGTGTTTGGAAACAGTGGAGCGCATCTCCATCCATCTCATCAGTGGTTTGTGAACCCTGAGAAAGAGCCTGTGTTTTCATCAAGTTTCCTTGGGAGCCTCTCAGCTGTTTTCCAAGGAGTCCCAAGTTAGATGGTGATGGAAGGGGAACAGGATCAGGAAAATCCCTTGCAAACATGGACACTCGGGCCCATGGAATTGTCAGAGGAGGCTGGGAGGGCAGAACAGTTGTTCAAAACCCAAACTCTGTAGCCATAGATAGCATGATTTTTGACGTTTTGCAGACATGGAAAAGAATCTAGGCTTTGGACCCAGCAGTCACAGGGCTCAGCTTCCTGGGACCCACCCTCTCTGAAATGGTTGACCTCAAGCAAGTCTGACCCTCTGTGGGTCTCTGGAAAATGGGGATAACAATACCCAAATGCTGAATGAGACAATACAAGCCCGGGATGCAACATGGTGCCCAACATTCAGGGAATGTTAGTTTTCTTTGCTTTTTTTCCCCTGTCGCTGTGATAAATGCTCTATTAGACCAGCACGCCTGACAAAGCCTTATCTGAAAATATGCTTGAGATCCGTGCTCCTGCCGAGTTTCAGGGATCAGCCAGCAATCCATTTCATGGATAACATCATCCTTTACCAGGGGAAACATTAAAAATTAACCCAGAGGACTTCATTTTTTTTCTGCTAGAGGCAAAGCTGCTATGGTTACCAGATAATGCACAGACTGAGCTGGAATACAGATAAAGAGTTTTTTCTTTTTTTTCTTTTTTTTTTTTTTAATATAAGAAAGGCAAAGGCCCTAGTGATGGCTCACAGGAGAAATGCCCGGTGGACAAAGAGAATACAGTCTGAATCTGAGCTTGGCAGAAGGCATTTGACCCCAGGCAGCATCTAACCTACTAAGTAGAGGCCAGGGGCTTGTTTGATCGTTACTTGGATGAAGGAAGGGAGTAGGTTCAGACAACTAGGGGAAGCTAGGAGAAGCTTGGAGGTGTGGGCGACCCTCTCCACATCGCCTGTCATCTCACTCAAGCACACTTGCACATTCATGCTCGCATATACATACACTCACACACTGCCCTTGGAAGGTCCTAACCTACAACCAGAGGTTTTCTCTCTGTCTCCACCTGCTTGATATGATCAAGACAATGCTCTTTGCTTCTGAGCACACAGCCAGGGTTTTTATGGGGAGCACAAGAACCTGTGGGCAAAACCAGAGAGGCCTCTTGAGAGGTGAGGTAGGCACTGGCCTCCGTCACCTCCTTGCTTCCAACACCTAAGACCCTTGGAGAGAAAGCTCAGGAGGGTCAGAGGTCAGAGAAGAGCCCAGCTGACAGCATCCGATGTTTCTGTGCGAGGGTGCATGAGCTACATGGGCATCACCTCAGAGTGAGAAGGGCTGGGAAAGGGCGCCTGGAACAGCTCATTCCCAACCAGGCAATGTTCTTTGTCCTGAGCGTCGGGAGGCAAGATTTCTGCCTCTTACAGAAATCAAACAAGCTGTGGGAATGCTCAAGAAATGAATTCTAGAGTGACAGCTGGGAGCCCTGGGTTTGGCTTTGCTACTGGTCTTTTGGATGACCTCAAACAACTCTCTTTTGCAATTCACCCTCAGCTTCTTCTGCTGAAAAGTACATGGATGGGACTAGATGGTCCATGTTTCTGTCCTGCTACAAACATCTCTCTGTTATGGAGGTGGGATGGTGATAACCAGAAGTAGCTGGAAGACCTGAAGGAGAAGAATATGAGAAGAATTTGCCCCCGCTGGGGCAAAACAGCACCTAAATCCCAAATCACAGCAGGGGATAGTGCCCTTCTTGGACTTGACAACAGCCCTGACAGTATTGTTAGGAACGTGGCCTGTTTTTTTTTTCCTTTTACTGCTTCCCACCACTTATCTAATAGCCACTTGCGGAGCACCTACTATGTGCCATCCTTGCCCTCTCCTCTGCACAGGAGTTATCTGGGAAGCTGAATGGGAGGTGCCTGTAGGAAGAATCTATGCACCTTCTTGTGTTACCAGGGATCAGGCAAGGCCTGGCATAAGGAATGCTGCCTAAACTGAAGTCCAGGTTAAATTAGCTCTCCGGGAGGTGGGACAGTGTGCATGTAGGACTTCAGTTTTGTTGTCATGTCATCAGAGTCACTTTAAGCTTTTGATCTATGCTCTCCAGGTTCTTTGAGCCAAGGAGCCAAGATCCAAGCTTGTGTCTAGGTGTAAGCCTGAGCCTTCCGGATGAGCAAAGGTGCTCAAGGCCAGCAGGTCAGAAGCAAGGAGAGGCTGGCTGGTGGAGTCAGGGCCTGGGAGTGCAGTCAGCTCCACTTCAGGAAGAAACTTTTCCCTGGAACACCAGCCAGCAGTTTCCTGCCGGGACCCTGCTTACATCCATCAGTGCTGCATTGATATAGTTGCTGGATTCTCCATCCACCGAGATGAGGAAAGGCAGGCAGCGGTCCAGAGGCAGGACATCCATGCTACGATTCTTGTCATGGTTTCGGGGCAGGAGCCCGATGCTGCAGTCCTCAGGTCGGACACGGGGTGTCACAATGTTGAGTGTCTGTGGGGATAAGGAGGGCACATAGACACTGCTTAGATAGTTTCCTCTGAGGAGCAGGGACAATGATGTTCCACTTTAGCCTAGCTTGTTTATGTCCACCCTTTAAGGTTGGCCCTGCTATCTTTTTCCTGGGACCCATGCCTCCTCCATGGTGGTGGTGTTCCATCATATCCTGCTCACTGCTGTGAGACTGGTGATTGAGAGCCTTTGCTAAGGGACTGTATAACATTTTTAAAATGCCAAGGGTGCAGAGGCAGCATGCCCACACACAGGCTCAGACATGGCTCTGCCAGCCTGTTGGACTAAATAGTTCAACTCAGCCAATGCTGCATTAAAAGATAGTCCAGCCAGAAGAGCACATGATAGGAATAGGAGGAGGGAATCCCTAATGAGTGCTGAAAGCCACTTGAAGTGTCATAGAATCAGGAAAATGGTTTACCAGCACTCTTCTCAAAAAGAAACCTGTATGAGAATGGAAGGATGCTCAGGGTGGATGAGAGACCACAAGCGGTATGCTCTAATAGATCTGCAAAATTGCAGGGCTTATGCTCGGCAGGGTAAGTCTTGAAATTTAGAACCAGAACTTCCCCAGAAAATAGAGACTGGATTCTGTCTCCCATGCCCAGAGTTCTCTGCCTTCCATCCTCCAGGCATTTGTCATACTGTCTCTGCTCAGTAAAGGACTATTTGAAGGAACACTAAAGCACTGACCTGGCTGGGGTATCTGCCCATGAAACCATGAACCCAACACTTCCTCACAGGCTTGAGGTAAGTCCTGGAGCTGTATGTTTGTGGGCATGACAAAGAAGATCTTTACCTCCTTCCACCTGGTTCTCAACTCCTCTTGCTCAAGCATGAGCCTGGTACTGGCCTTGGGAGAGACTGCTGAACTCTAGCTTTACTGTATTCAGTGAATCATGTCCAGGCCTCTCTGAATGAAGTTTCCACAAGTCTAACCATATTGGCTCCAAGGTACAGATCTGCTATGACTGAGCTGTGCTCTAGGATTATGCATCTGAAATTTTGATAAATAGTCACTCAGAGATCCTTTTAAATTGCAGGTTTTTAATCAGATCTGAGTGGGGTCCAAGATTTTGCATTTCCCAAATGAAGCTCCTGCTGATCATCTCTAGAACATGCCTACCCTTCAAGTTGTAAAGATCAGCTGAGAGAACCTGGGGCCCTCCAGGAACAAAGAAGCATGAAATTCATATCTATGTGCATATCTCCTTTCACAACCTAGAGTAGGGCTAAATAAGACCTAAGTTTAAAAACATAATTATAGTTAAACGCAAGCCTCAGCCATCACTGAGTTATTGGCTAGTAGCTGCTCATGGCTATGCATTTGGTGTTTTGGAATGCACTCTGCAGCTGCCTGGCACTGCAGCTGGAAAGTCTGTGGACAGCTCAGTTCTCACAAAGGAAACCCCATAAACATGCACAGCACCACTGAAGTTGGCAGAGTCACTACTATAGACTAAATGTGTACCCAACAAAGGCATATGTTGCCATGGTGATGGTTTTAGACAGTGGGTTCTGTGGGAGATAATTAGGTCAGGAGAGTGGAACCCTTACACATGGAGTTAGTGTTCTCTAAAAAAGAGATGTGAGAGCTTTCTTCTTCTCTGCTTTCCGCTGTGTGAAGCTACAAGAAGAAGGCAGTCACCCGGAAACCTGAAGAGTGTCTGAGCCCTCTGCAGACACCAAATTTCCTGGCGGTTTGATCCGCGACTCCCCAGCCTCCAGAAATGTGACAAAGCAATATCTACTATTTAAACCACACAGCTGATGGAAATTTGTTATAATAGTTCAAATGGACTAGGACCATCTCCAAGATTTGTCCATACCTGAAATTCATCTTTGATCTGGCTGGAGTTCGTCTGGGGGTCCAGCCTACTGATGTTGTAGTAGAGAGAGCGGAACTCACACACAGGGATGGCCGTGTTGCCGCAGAGGCATGCTTCCAGGATGGCGTCGTGCACAAACACATACTGCTCCTGCACGGCCAAGGACAGGGAGAGGGAATAGGGGGTTAGATAGGAACAGTAGCCATGAAGACTGGGCATGATGTATATTGCTGAGTCCATACTTTTTATCTTATAACCCAAAGGACCGCGTCCTCATATTTCATAGTCACTGCCTGATCCATGGCGTGTTTTCTTCCTAATTGAACAACAGAATCATGATAAAATGAGAAACTTGTGGACAGAACATGGCAGGTGTTCTTGGTGCCTTGCCCACATCTCAGTTTTACCTTTACCTTTACCTGCCACAGCTTACGTGCAGCTAATAATCTGTGATTATTCTTTTTGGAAGGCTTTCTCTAGCCCCAGAAGCACACTTGGGCTATGTGCTGGTAAGCCACAAAGCTAAGGAGGTAATGCCGGAGTAAGGAGCCCTCAAGCGATGACAGAGTGAGAGCTGAGGATAAAACCCAAGTTCTTTCTCCCCTTTGATGGGACAAATTACAGATTCAGGTTCCTCACTATCAGAATTCCTTAGCAGGACCAGGGTCCAGGTGTCTACCGTGTATTTAACAGCCTGATAAATACTCTTTGTTTGTTTCCTTCCCCCTCTGTCTCACTTCTCCCACTTGCCAAACAGGTGTCTTGGGATTACCGCCGCAACAATCTCCGCTTGCCTTCAAGTCTCTGTCTCGGGGCCTGCTCCTAACACCTGTGCTTAATGCATTCCCATCCCGGTTCTTTGGACCTGCTCTTCTCTTCTGAAACTCCCCACCCTTTTCACTATACCTTTCAATGTTTCATTCCTTTTGGAAAGTCTTTTCTAAATCCACCAGGCAGAACTTGCTGTTGGGACTCATGAAAAGTGGTTGTTGAGTGACTTTTGTCCTGAAAAAAACATGGCTTATTTCTCTCTATAAAGTACACTTAGTGTGTCATGCATGGATGTGGGAAGCAGTAAAGCAGTTGTCTGGGCTGCAGTGCTAGAAGCCTGAACTCTGGCCTGTGTGAGTTAGCTCAGAGCCTGCAGCCAGGTCCTGTGGGTGTGAACCCATCCATGAGGGTCTTCACTGCAGAGCCAGGAAGGAATGCTGTGTCCAAGGCCATGGGTAGCTTCACTTTGCAGGGTAGAGGCAGATCTCATGTGTCCCAGCTCTGCCTGGGCATGAAAGGTATTCACTAGAATACCTGGGCTTATTACAAGAATGACAAGCCAAGGCATGGAGGAGTGGGACAGTCAGAGAAGGTTGGTTAGTAAGATAGAGTGGTTCAGAACAAAGGATGTAGGCCTTGGCAGCACATGGACCCAGGTTCTACCACAGTTGGATGTGAGGTCATGGGGAAACAGTTTGTCAATATCCGCTTCATTGACAAGACGGATACTCTAGTAGGGGTCACACCATAGATCGCTATGGAGGAGAAACTACACAGTCTCTTGAGTACAACAAAGAGCATTCCCTAGTTCACAGTAGATGTGAAACAATAAAGAAAAATGCCCTCTATTTCCTTCCTTGAGCTCTAACTGGCCAACAAGGTTCCTAGAGGACTTTCTCTCCTTCAAGGGCTGGAACTCAAGAATTTTGCTGATTAAGCGATTTCTTTCAGTGCCTGAATTGATACTTAGAACATAGTAAGCATTCAGTAAATACCAGTCTGTCCCTTCCCTCTTACTCCTTCATCCAAGGCTGGAATACTATTCAAAGAATCCCTGACAGCTGCCATTCAGTTTTGGCTTGAATGACTTTAGCAATGGGGAACACATCACCATTCATCATGGGTGGAAGTCCTGGTACTACAGATCTTTAGGATTGCCTGGGGTTTTCCAGCCTCTACAGCGGTCTCACCATAGCAAACCACATGGCCACTCTCCTTTCCTGCACCTAGGTCCTTCTCTATAGAATGCCACCACCTGTGGGTCTCTCTGTTCCTGCAATGCTTTTCCTTGGTCACGGACAGGCTGCAGGTAGCTGGCTGGTTAATCTCCCATGACTCACCTCTGTCTGCACCAAGTTGACCCTCTGTGCACGCAGCTCACGCACACAGTTGAAGATGTCCACCACTCCTTCGTTCTCAGCCATGTCAAGCATGGTATCAATGGCGATGAAGCAGCCAGTCCTCCCAGCTCCAGCACTGGATGAAACAGGATAATCCGTGTTAAGGATGTTGGGATGGGACCAGTCCCACCAGTGGCCTCCATCCCTGAGGGTCATGTTGAGAGGCATATGCTGCTGCTATCAGACAAAACCACTGGAATCTCAGCACTCTGGGAGAGGCCTGAGCAAATAATCAAACTCAGAGCCTGGAGCCTCGGCTTTCTCTTTTGTAAGCTGGAGGAGTAATGCTTGCCTTTGGGTGCTATCTTATCGGGACTGATTGATTTTGCTATATTCACTTAGCCAACAACTATTTAATGCTTGCTAATTGCCAGAGTGTTCTCAGAGTCTCACAAATGTTACCTCTGAGTTTGGTAGCAAGTTTTGCACCCCATTTCACAGGTAAAAATATTGAGGCACACAGGGCTTACTTTGCCTGATGTCACACAGCTGGCAAGTGGTAGAACACGGAATTTCACACAGGCAGTCTGACTCCAGAAAATGTGCTTATACACTTCCTTTCAGAATAATACTTATGACACATAATGCATGCTTACACAGTATGTGGGTATGTAGTTTCTTCAACTGATGGATAAAGATGACCCACCTGTATAGAGTGAAATATTTAACACAGTGCCTGGCACATTGGTGTTGCCTAACATACATGCCTTTCCATTTCTTTTCCCTTTTTTACTTTTTTTTTCATTTGTAGAAAATACACTGATGGATGGAAACAACAAAGAGGAACAGAGACATAACAGAAAGGAAATGAGTGAGAAAGTCAGAAAGTAGAAACATGAAACCTCTGAGCTGTCCCAAAGGCACAGAGTGAATCTGGAGTCCCTGGTCCAAGGCTCTGTATGAGGCTTCACCTGCACCTACTTACTCAGGACGATGAACCAACAGAATCAATCATTCAATAGGAGCAGGTGATAGCCATGGAGCCTTGTCGGGCATCAATTTCCTGACATGCATTCAATTTCTGATCTTTGATGGCTTTGTTAGGAGAATCTCAGACCAAGAACAAAATAACAAGAGAACTCAGTGAGACTCCACAGAGCATGGCCAATCCTTCCCAAATTAGTGCTGGTTTCCAAACTAATGATGCTGAACCAGAGACACATAAGATATTTGCCATAAGCACACGGTTTTGGAAGGGAAGCCCAGGCACACTGTCAAGGAGGCCTGCTTTGGCTGTTTCATATCTTATTTCCCCTATGTAAATAAATGTCTTTATCTAATAATGTGAAAAATCAAAGGAAATGCAAAGAGCAGGAGAGATGGGGTAAGATGGAAAAGCAATATTAACTGATACATCCAAGAAGCATAGGCCAGTGGGGACCATAACCCTCAATGATCTGGAAATTAAACTGGTATGAACAGTCTTCATTCATGACAAAGCATCACAGCTTGCGTTAATTGAAGTCTGACTTATTTCTGCCTCAAAATGCCTCCCTTCTACCACAGTCCAGACCCGCTCAAAAGGGACTCAACTCTCTGGGCTTTAGTTTCCTGGAGGGAGTACAAAGAGCTACTCTATTTATCTCCTCTTCTAAGTCTTATTTTCAACATATTTTAAGGAAAGAAGCAGCTTGATTTGGTTTTCAATTTTGGATCCACTGTCAATGAATGAGTTGCTCAATGCCTGTGAGCCCATTTTCTCACACACTGAATGCATCCTTTGGGCAGAGACTTTGTAAAGGTTGTACTGTGTTTATTTTAGTACCACATAGTAATTAAACACATGATATTTGGAAGCGACCCCTGGGATCACATCCTGATTCTATTACTTACTAGCTGAGTGGCCTGCAGTAAATGACTTAAGCTTTCTGAGTTTCATTACTCTCACTTGTAAAATGATGCTGATAATAATAAAAGTAGTTCTACGTCATAGCATTAACAGTATGATATATTTAAATGGCATGAAATTTTGTTTAAAAAGCATAACGCATGCAAACTGCTTTGCCCTTTGCCTAGCTGCACAATGGTTTCTCAATAAATATTTGCTACTTATAGTCAACAAATATTTATTGAGCATCTACAGTACACTGGATTCTGGGATTAAGAGTGGAGATATGCAGATCAGTACGACATGGTTCCTGTCCTTAAGGACTAACAGTCTGGGGAAGGGAGGTATTATTAACAAGCAGAGAAGAGTGATATTTTTAAGTGCTTATTATAAGTCAGGGTTTCTGTTAGGCATTTAGTGCATATTAACCAACTCATTTAATCTTATGAGCCCCAGGAGTGGGTACTACTCTGCTCTGATGCAGTAAGGTGACTTGCTGTGGAGATACAGGAACACAGCCAGTGCTACACATAGTGGAGAGCCTGATAAATATTTGCTATTTTCTCATGTTCCCCTTTATCCTTACACTGGCTACTGTTTGGGTCACAGGGCTTGAGCACTCATGAGCTATTGTCCTTGGTTTGTTATGAGTTATAAAGCAAAGAACTCATGCACAATGCTGACACACCCTGGAGGGTCCTGCCAAATCCTTAATTGCTTTATCTGTGAAATGGGTCTGTATATTTACTATTTTACAGAAGATGCATGGATGCTGTGTGAGAATAGAGTTGGATCTGAGACATCCACAGTTTACTGAGTCTTCCTGGTCCCTTAACTGATGTGGACACCGCCAGTGCAAGGATGAGACAACTTGAGCATGTAGGGGCTGCAAAGACGGGCTGGGCCCAAGGTCACACTTGCAAAGAGAACCAAGGGGAAGGAGGGCAATGCAGGCTACTTGGCCTTTAGGTCTAAACACTCACGCTCCTCCAATTCTTCATGCCCTTGACAGGATGCTTCATCATCATTTAGGAGCACTGAAAGATGTGTCACGCTTTCTCAATGTGACTGTCTAGGTCAAAGCTGAAAATATCTCCTATCTATAATCAAGTAAAACCTCACACTGTCCATTTACTCTCTATTGAGGATGCTACAGGCCAGGGGTTGGTAGAATGAAGAGAAGGCACCCCACTGCCACATTAGGGAGCTACGGGTGACTGTCTGGAGAAGATCATGTTACATATCCTGGCTCTGCCACTGCGCACCTGTGTCTACCGTCTCACATCTTGGTTTCCTTGTCTGTCAAATAAAAATGATAATAACAACCGATTCTCAAGGTTAGATGACAAGTAAGTGAAATAATGCGGGTAGGCTCACATGCACACAAAGCAGATGCTGCCAGTACCCTGGCTATATCACCTGGGAATGTTAACACCAATGATGGCTACTTCTACTACAGCTACTTGTTAGATGGTGGGGCTGGGTTCTCATCAGAAAGGGTTGGGCACTGGAATAGGGGGTATCACCGCCACTGGACGAGAGAATGTTATCCTTACAAAGATAAAAGCTACACAGGCACAGTTGGTTGGAGCCTGGCTTTGACTCACCTGCAGTGGACCACTATAGGCCCAGCTTCGGGGGGATTGAGGAACTTGACCTGGCGGACGAAGCCCAGGAGGCCCGTAGCATAGCAGGGGACACCGTGGTCAGGCCAGCTGGTGAAGTGGAAGAGGCGGAGTTCCCGGATCTCATGGTAGCCTTTCTGAGGAGAGAATGGGTCTCTATTCTTCCAGCTGCTGCCCTGGTGTACCCAGCCCGGCACTTGGGCCGCTGCAGCTACTGCACTGAGGCGCCTGCCTCCCTGCTGTCCAGGGAGGTCAAGGCCTTGGCAGGGTTACCACACAGTGACTCTGTGATCAGGAACGTTTGGACAATCAGCAACAAGTTAAAGTGAAGCCAACTGCTTTATTGCAGGACTACTCAGAGTCTTTTTGTGTGTTAATACATATTCTGAGTTCCAGAGACAGTGATACACTGTTTTTTCAGTGAACTCTCTTTGAAAGTTCTTATAGGATGTTTATTCAGTAGGAACAGTCTGATTTTTCATTCTTCCTGTTAAAAGCTATTCACAGGGGCTGGGGATTTAGCTCAGTGGCACAGCACCTGCCTGGCAAGTGCGAGGTCGTGAGTTCGATTCCCAGTATTGGAAAAAAACCAAAAAAAAAAAAAAAAAAAAAAAGCTATTCACTAAGGGGTATCTATGCTAGACTTGTGCGGGGCACTAGACGGGAGGAAATAAAAGTCATAACTCTTCCCCTGGAACAATTCGTGGCATTGCTAGTGAGGAAGACTCCTTTGTGTATAACTGTATTAAAATGTGTAAAGGAGAGTGAAAAAATCAGACACAGGTTCCTGCAGGAGGCGATGCTTGATTTGAATCATGCAATAATCATGAAATTAGTTAACATTTATTAAGCACTGACTATGTACCTGTCACTCTTCTGAATTATTTATTAATTCATTTAATCCTCATGTCAAGGTCATATTGTTACCTCTATGTTATGGGTGAGGAAACTGAGGCTAAGCAAAGTTTAGAAACATGCCTAAATCACAACACAACTAATAAATTGTAAACTTATAATTTCCCCCTAGCTGGCCCTACAGACTGTAGGCCTCATCATCATGATACTGATGTATAGGTACTACTCAGTTGAAGACCTGGAGGGGATCAATGCAGAAGGATAGCATAGATGAGGACAAGGGAATAGGACTTAGCATGTTGTGTGTAGAGAACAACAAAGAGCCCAAGGTAATGCATGAGGACCATGGAAGACAGCATTGGCTGTGTGGGAGGATGGGGTGCTGGACCCCAGAGGCCTTGGCTGAATCCAAGTCACAGCTTTGATTTCATCTCAAAGGCACCAGCAATCCACAGGGAGACCACACAGGTGGCTGCATAGAAGTAAACTCATAATCAGACTTGCAGTTTAGGAGGAATCTGCTGGCTGCTACATGGAGGATGGACATGGATGGATGTTCCAGGGTTGTGTACTCACTCAGGTCTCCATCCTTGGACTGATGCACCATCTTCAACTCTCATGCATCTTGGCTAAAGACGGCCCATATTCCTTTTCTTTAGAGACCAGTGCCCCCATGGGGAGAAGAGTACAGCTGGCCCTCAGTGACTGGCAGGAGGACTGGGAGATTGACTGTCTTTGTCATTTGCCCAGCACCTTCCCAAGATATGAATTTTCAGTGCTAAAACCAGGACTGCTCTAGATGAGCCAGAATGACTAGCTATCCTCATCAAGGTGCAAAGTGCCGCTTTGTTTCCAGATTGGACCAAATATACAGAGCAGTTTGCCTCCAGGGCTCGGGTGGGGTCAGGTGGCAGCAGAATCTGTTAGGACCATATCCTGGCTTGGCTCCTTTTTCCTGTCTTCACCCTGTCCTGTCTCCTCCACCCTCTTCTTCTGTGAGTTCTCACTTAACGGGATCTGCACATCCAGATCACTGCAACCTCCTGGTCTGCTTCCCAGAAACCCAAACTAAGATTGAGTAAGATGGGAGGCAGAGTCTGATCAGGAGAGAGAAAACAAAGGCCGTGGCTAAGAGCAACAGGTGAGCTGAAGCTCGAAGAACCTTATCCTCTGAGTCAGTTGTACCCAGAAGCCTAGGTTTGAGCCCTTCAAACCTGTGCTGTGACTACTGCTCAAAGGCTCTTCTTCCTAATGCTCCCTTTGGGAAAGAAAACACTTCTGATTTATAATTCCTGGTCCCTAACTCAGGGATTAATTTTGAGCTAAAGCCCCAAGTGCCTGCCTGTTAGCATGAAGAGTCCACAGAGATGAAATAATCCCAGAAGCCCTTGGGGTCTTTAAGGGCACCTCCTTATGGAAAATCTCCCCCCTTGTGACCATTTAAAAGAGAAACAAAAAGACAGCCCAAGACATGACCCTAAAGCCTCAGCATGGCTTGCTCCCACAAATCTACCAGGGCTCCATGCTCAGGGCGTAGGTCTCAAGAAGGGCCACAGTCTTCTGCCCCAACTCTGTTCCCGGAAAGAAACACAAGTGTGATGGATGAGATTGGTTTCCCACCCAGGACCTCCTTGTGGGTGTGTGTATCAGGGGCAGGGAATGCTGGCTGCTAGTGCCTCACAGTTGTCCTCCTTTCTGGAGATGTGCCCTCAGCTGACAAGAGCTGGCTCACCCCAGAAGTTACCCCTCAGCTATAGTAGGTAGACTGATTAGTGTGGGAGCACAAAAGCCTGGTGTCCTGGCCTCTGTGGTGTGGTTTATACTTTGGAAGTCCCCTGTGGATCAGGCCCGGACTAGACATTATGGATCCTCTATCTTTGCTCTACCTGACCTCTTCTCTCTTGCTTGCCTCCCTCTCTCAAGAGTTTCTCCTAGAAGAACTCTTTTGATAATGCCAGGTGCATCTGAATCCTTGCCTCAGGCTCTACTTCTAAAGAACTTGGTGCAAGACAACATCCAAGTACCTGTTATTCTCCCTCCTCTTAGTTGGGTGGGATACGGGCTTCCTGACTTTTGCAACTGAGACAGTAGACTTTAAAAAATCAGGTCTGGGGAGAAGGGAGAGCTGCTGAGAGCAAATAGTACAGCCTGGGCCACATAGTGTTTGCAAGAATGTCACTGGGCTCATTTTGTGGTGCTGCCTGCATGGCATCTGCTTTGGTCCTCACAAAGTCTTATCCAAATCTCAAGGGCACATCTAAAGCATTTAAATTCCCAGTTCCTTTTGTGTCCTCAAACCTGTGGCCAGGGGGTCCATTGAAATGGCTGACTTTAGAAAATGACAATCTTCATACAGCAGAATGGGCAATGGACTTCAGGGGCCGAGCTATGAATCCTAGTTCTACCACCTCACACCTGGGCAAATTTGGACACCTGACTTAAAATCTGTATCTCAATTTCTTTATCTATAACATGTAGATAAAACAGTACCTACCTCAGAGTATTACTAGGAGAATTAAATGAAGTAATCTATGCAAAGCACTTAGAAGACCACTGGATTTAATAAGTGCTCAGTAAATTTATATAGCTTTTAAAAAACAGACATCCCTGACATGGTTTGACTTATGATTTTTTGACTTTACAATGGTGCAAAAGGGATATAGGTCCAGTAAGAATGTTGCTTGAATTTTGAGTTCTGATCTCTTCCCAGATTAGTAACATAGTATGTGGTGTGATGCTGTCTTTGATAGAGCAAGCTGTAAGTCCCACTCGGTCGTGCCACTAGAAGGGTAAATAATGAATACTCTACAATAACACTCAGAAGACTATGTTGCTAATCTATAATGTTGTGTAGGTTAGGCATGTTAAATGCATTTTCAAATGACAGTGAGTCAGGGCATAACCCCTTTGTAAATCAAGGAGTATCTGCATAATATAATACAATAGTAATGACTATGTAATAGTTTAATTATAAAGGTAGTAATGATTTGGGATCTCATTCTTTTCTTTTTTTCTTTTTTTTTTTGAGACAGTGTCTTGCTACATAGTTTAGTCTAGATTTGAACTTACTGTGTATCCAGGTTGGCCTTAATTTATAGTGATCCTCCTGCCCCAGCTTTCTCAGAGCTGGCATTATAGGCACATGCCACCACACCTGGCAGATCTTATTCTTGACACCATTGACACTTTGGGCTGGATAATTCCTTGTCATGGGACCTATGATGTACTCTGTGTTGTAGGTTATTTATCCACACCTCTGGCCTCTAGACACTAGATGCCAATAACAACCTATCTCCTCCCACGTTGTGATGACCAAAACTGTCTCTAGACATTGACAAGTATGGTCTAGAGGATGAAATAACTCTTTCTTGAGAACCAAAGGCCTGATCCATCCAAAGTTCTGATCTCTTTCACACTTTGCATATTTCTTGGCATCTGCCAGGGATAGTAATCCTTCCATCTTTTCCTTGGCTGGAACCTTTGCATCCTTTATTGTGGACCCAATGCCTACTTCTAGGCCCTCTCTGACCATCCCATCCTCCTGTGGGTCTCTGCCTTCACCCTTTGCGTGTTACTCTGTGGCTTTTCTTATATGTCTTTATTCCATTGTGTTGTCTGTTGGACTTCACTTGTCCCTCTCACTAGACATGTGATCCATTATAGCATTTATCCAAGTCTGACCCAATAACTAACTGTTCTTGGCACTAGGCATGGGGCTGAGCACAGATCAGATCCTTGGTCTCTATAGGATCTGAATGGACAGGTCAGTCTGCTGGACAGGTTGCCCACAACCAAGGGAAGCTTACCTTCTGGACTGTGAAGGTACGAATGACATATTCCGCTAAGGGTTCTGTTTCAATCAGGGTGACTTTAATGTCTCCATAGACTTCCGTGTCATCTGGCCAGTATCGCACACACTTCACCTGTGGCCAAATGAGAGACAAGGAAGGATAGAGACAAAGATGTATGAGAGGGTGGCTGAATGTGAGCAGCCCCCTCATCTGGTTTTCTCACTCAAATAAGCCCAAGGGACAACTTCAGTGACATTTCAGCCCACGGGGAGCTCAGATGGCCAGGGACTGGCACACTGCACAGGGCCAACCTCACTCCTGGAGGCACTGGGGTCATTAGAAATAACAGTAGCATCTTCTGTTGCAAAGCCCCGTGTCCTTTTCCAATGCACTATCACACAAAGTGATGAAACAAAACTAGGTGAGATAGGTGAGTATTATTCCCATTTTGCAGATGAAAATAATACTCAAGTTTGGAAGTTCAGTGACTTGTCCAAGGTTATGTGGCCAGTTTCTTACTTCTGATTGAGTCTTCTATCTGCTATATCAGGCTGAAGCAGCTGAGTGCAATCAGCTGAGCAAAGAAGAGAATAAAAGGTGGGAAACAGCTAGGGGGTGGAAGCAGAAATGGTCAGGAGAGGGTCTTTATTAAGAGTGGGTAGTTGGGTACTGGAAGGAGAAAGGTTCTAGGTTGGGGAAAGAATGGAAGTGCTAGGCAGAGGGAAGATTCTAAACCTGCTCTCTGCCCTGGAAGTGGGTACAGATGCTATGAACAAGCATTCCCACATGGGACTCTACAGGTCACATTCCATGGAGGAAAAAGAGATCATGTTTTCCCCTTAAAAGAACAAAAGCATTATTACCATTCCGGGGGACGCCGCACGGCCTAGCGTGGCATTTCCCACAGTGTGTTCCGCTGGGTGCTAATAGGTGTTAGGTAAAAAAACAAGAAACAAAAAACAAACAAAGAAAGGTTTTGTGGTCAAATGAGTTTGGGAAATGCTGATTAAACAACGTTAAACAGGCTGCTTCACTACAAGACTACTTCGCTCCTCAAATGTGCTAATGCTAATACGCTTCAGGAATTCTTTGAAAGGGGCAGAGGACACAGCATTTCCCAAACGTATTTAACCATGGAACCCTCTTCTCACTAAGCATCCTGCTGACTAGCATCCCATGGAACCCACTTAGGGAAACACTGGTAGAGTGCAACAGGTTTTGGAGGGAATGGATCCACTGCTTGGTTGTGAAACTCAGTATCTTCCAGAAAGTGCCGAAATCTCTCTGAGCCTTAGCTTTCTGTTAATAATAATAGATAACACTTACTTTGCTGAATATAGCTTATTAAGTATTCCATGAATAATTTACACATAGTATTTTAATTACTTATCACCATAACCTTAGATATTACTATTATTCCCACTTTACAGGTGAGGATCTAAAACACAGGGAAGCCAGGAAAATTGCCTGAAGTCCACTATTGAGGAGCAGTGGAGGTGGGATGCAAACCCAGGCCATCTGACTAACAACGAGGAGCTTTTGCCTTGTATGATTGTTGTGAGATAAATTTAGTGCACATTAAGTGTCTGGCAAATACATGGAAAATAGCAAGAGTTCTACTAAGAGACTGCTCTCTTCACTAAATCTAATCTGGATTCATAGTGTTTCCATCAAAGGAATCTGCTTCTAATGCTGGACATATTGTAGGCAGGCTGGATTTTGCCTCTGAATTCTCCAACTCTTGGATGGCCTTTCTGTTCACAGTAGCTTCAAGCTGAAGGGCCTGAGTCCCTGGGAACAGCCTGAGCACAAGGGCCATGTCCATCATGGTGAAAGCCAAGACTCAGGTCACACCCACGACTTGTTTGAGTGACTTCAGGGTCATTGCTCCACCCTTTGGGTCTGGTCTTCATCTATAAAACTGAGGAATGAACTAGATAATGGTGAACTTATGGATCAAGTCTCACTTGGTCCTAAATCCCCATTAGGACATGGGACATCTACACCCTTTGACTGAATCATGACAGCCTCAATTCCCTTTTCCCGTGACTATGGCCAGGACATTTCATCTTGTTCTTTCTAAGATGAACTTACCTGCCCACTCTTCAGTTAATTCATATGATACGCAAAGGCCCTTTGAATCCTGGTGTTTGTACACCTGCCTTTAAACTCAGGAGCCCATCCACAAACACCACAGTTAACAGAGGAATCAAAAGCAAACTGGAAATCGCGGTGCTTTTTCTAAGCCTAGTTAAGGATGACCTAGGAGAGAGACAACTAGAACAGAGTGGGAGATTGAAGCCTGAGCCCTGAAGAATATCAAGGTTTGGAGGGCAGGGGGAAAAGAGCAGGTAGCAGAGGGTCAGATGCTGCTGAGAGGTGGGGTATGGCAAGAGAGAAGTGTCAACTTGATTTGTCCACATGAAGGATGAGAGTGATATGGACAAATACCACTGCTGGTGGGATGGAGAGAGTAGCTACATCAGAGCGGGTAGAAGAGAACAGAGTGAAGAAACAGCCTTAATCTGAGTCATTAAAGTTCAACAGGAAAGTGGAGACAGGAGATTCATTTTTGCCTGTTTTGTCTTTTCAAAGTGGAAGGTACTGAGCATGTCTGCATGCTGAGGGGAAGAAAATCTAGCCATGAGAAAGAGACTTATTTTTCAAGGGAGGTGGGGGAAATAGAAAATTATTGAGCAGAATTAGGTTCGAGGCACCAGGCTTGTCTTTGAAAAGGCAGAGTCTTGGCTTCTGTTGTATTGGGCAGAGCCATAGGAAATAGCTGATAGTCGACCATTCTGGGTCAACAAAAACAGCCATTTCTTATGGTTGAGCCTGACAAAAGAGGGGAAGAACAAGAAGACGATTGTAGATACAAGTAGGATTGCAGCTTTTGTGTGTAATGATGAGGGCATTCACATCTGATGGCTTTAATTTCCTCAAAATATATGGGATGACGTTATCAACAGAAAGTGAACGAAGGAGAGGGATGGAGGACTTGAAGGCAAGGAAATTGCTCAAATGTGAAACAGGAGGGATGCTATCTTCCCCCGAGGCTTCTGGAGGTCTTGGTGTGGGACAGGAGGCACTGAGCACAGTGCAGGGTACAGAGATCCTGTAGCACACCTCTGGCACTGCCTACCAAGGGACAGCAGGAGAGGCTTACCCTGCCCACTTCCACGAGGTTTGTGACCATGACGATGCTGGCTGAGTTCTCCTGCCAGATCATTCTCCAAAAGTCCTTCACTGTCTCCTGCATTGGACCTGCCAACAGAGAAGGTGTGAGAGATGGTGAGGGCAAGGTAGCAGCCAAGAGGTCTGTCCCTCTTGGCTGTTCAGTGAAGACTCCCCGTAGGTGAGCAAGAGCAAGGCCAGGTAGTCCTCACTAGGATACCCAGTTGCAGAGACTGGGCCGGAAGTAGGTGAGCCTGATGGGGCCAGGATGGACAATGGATAAGAGAAGCCACATCCCAAACTCTCATGGCCCGCAGCACCATTTCTGCCTGCTGTTCTCATCCTGCTCAGCCCCACCAGAGCCACTTTTCCCTAACGCATTACCTTATCTGAACTACGTGTGGGGCTGTGCCCAAGGGAATCTTCAAAAGTTGATCACAAGGATCTCAAAGAGGACAGGAAGGAAATTGGAGTGGGAGAGGGCAGAGCTGTTGACAGCAAAGAGAGGAGCCCCTGACTTTGAGTTTGACTGGAGCCTGAACAACAAAGAAGGGGTGGAAAACAATAACAAAACAAAAGCAAACAAACAAAGGAAGGAGTGGGAGTAGGATCTAACAGGTCAAAGACATTGTCTTGGAATATAATTTTTCAATGTCATGGGTCTTCATCATTTTTAAAAGTACAAAAGGAATACATGTGTTTGATATAAAAGCTTGAATATTATTTTCTGTGTTTAGGTATATATGTATCTACTGTAATAAGCATCATATTTATTGTAAGCATTTTTGATTCCCTTAAAATTCTTAACAAGTATAATATCTTTTCATAGCCACAGAATTTTCTACAACAGGTGGTACCACATTTTATTTAAGCCATCTGACAATTGTTGGGCATTTAAGATATCTCACCTATTTCCTACTGTAGATAACACTGATGAATGTTTTTATATAAATCATTGTGCACATATATAATTATCTGTAGGATTTCTTCCCAGAAGGATTTGAAAGGTGTAGCCAGTTTTAAGCCTTCTGATAACATACTGCTGTGTTGTTTCCTAGGGCAGCTGGCTGCTTTAGGAAGTAAGATACTCTCTGCTCCAGCTCTGTCTGGTAACACCTGCTGAAGATGATGCTTTTGCTATGCCCTGCTTGATTCCCTCCCTCCTGACCATTTCCTAGTGAAAATTCCTATAGTTGAACTTGTCAACTTTCTCCTTCTCAAGGAGCTCTGGAGGATTTCCCACCCTGCCTTTCTCTGATTTCTTTGTCAGTGGAAGCTCATTCCTCTCCTCCACAGAAAGGCCATAGTCTGTTAGTGGAAAGGGGGTGTTTGATAACAGAACTGTAGGCGACAATAAGCTTTGCATAATTTCCCGGAAAGCCCTCTTTCCTGGAGCCCTTGAGGGCTCTCTGAAGCAGCAGATTGGCAGGGCACTTACCTTGGGTTGCGATGTAGTGTCGTGGTCGATGGTACCCCTGGATAACAGGAGGAAAGCACAGTGAGAGTCTCCAGTCAAAGCTTGTAAATAGCACAGGATTAATAAATATTTTCTGCCATGTTGGTCTGCTCATAGGCCAAACAGGGAATTGTCATAGCTATTTCCAAGAGAAATGGGAAAGATCAAGTACGATGATGCATGTAAAGCACTTAGGAAGTCACTAAATATTAGTTGCTATTATAGTTACTTGTGAGGTGTCCACAGAAACTTTCCTTGGAGCCAGAGGTACTGGAAGCAAAAATGGGGCAGGCATCATTTTTGTGTATTCACCCAAAAAGAGGAGGAAGAGAAATTTTCAAGTGTATGGAGCACATCAACACCAAAAGGTCTTTCCTGAGCCATGACTTTATGCTCAACATTGTACAAGACCTTCTGGGAACCTAGAGGAGAAAACAATTCTATTGTTGACTCTTTGCATTAGTAACAATTAGAAAAAGAAAATTGGGAAAGATGTCACATTGCTTTTCCCTGCCAACATGCTCAGGCTTGTACTTAAAGTTCTGAGTGCAGAGAGGATCTTGAAGTGTGTAGTTGGAGACCTATAAGCTAGTTGCTGATTCAAAGAGCAGCTTCTGACTTCCCTGTACATTTCAGAGTGCTCTCATAAGCCTTCTGGACTCTGGTGTGGGCTTGCCCTAGTGCTCCATTATCCTAATCATCAGGGAAGAGGTTGAAAATGACTTTGTTTTACTACATGGATATGGCATACATGTTAAGTTCCCTTTCTTGCTATAGAGAAGGAGTACATCCTAATGAGTAGACGTTTGAGTTTTGGTCTTCAGCACTGCTAAATAATCTCTCTGTCCTCTGAGGGTATGTTACTTCGTTAGTTACTTTTCTCTTTGCTGAGACAAAATACCAACACTCAAGTTAAAGGGGAAAAGATTTATTTAGCTCATAGTTTGTAGAGGTCTCAGTCCATAATTGGCTGGCACCAAGGCAGGGTGGCACATGGCAGAGAAGCAACCATTCATGGTGGTAGAAGACAGCAAAAGCAACAAAAGAGAGAGAGGGCACAAGCCTTTTTCTTGTACTGTATGCAGGCTACCTGCCCTAAGGCGAGTGTAGCACTCACACTCTGTTTTTTCTTTTAAAGAGAAAAGAACAAAAACAAAATAACAAAAACAAAGACAAAAACAAAACAACACAAAAACAATAAAATGATGCAGAATTTCAAAGTAGGATGACAGGAAATTAACAATGGTTGTTGCATGTTGTTATCTTCAAAGTAGTTGCTCAGATTACAAAACAAATCAGACTCGCATATGTAAACACTCATGCTCTTAATCCCAACATTGGCTCATGAATCATTCACAAACTCTAGATTCAGCCATCTTTGAAAAGCCTGGTTCCCATGACTGCATGAGGCTTTGGAGGGGGAGGGACATCTAAACACAAACCATAACAGGGTAGACGAGCTGCCACAAGGCCTCCTTCTTCAGGAGATAAGACGCAATTGCCATCTTTTGGTGCAGGAGAGGTGGATGTGTAAAGTTCTGGATCCAGTTTCTAATTCAAAGACTAGTTTTTTAATCCTCTATACATTTCTTCACTTGTTCAATAAATATTTACCATGTACTTTCCAATTGCTAGTCATCCTCTAGAGTTGACTGTCAGCATCAACTCAAGGCCAATGTCATGACCAGAACTGTCAGATTAACTTCACAGCCATCAGCAGCCCCACCTAAATTCTTTGCTTGAGTGGTCTCATTTACTTAGTGAGGCCTCTTAGTTGACAAATACTGCCTCCTAAGTGTAAAAAGTTCTCCCACAGAATCTAGCACAGTGTGACACTTAGAGCGAATGTCAAATAAGCAAGCTACAACAAAACAGCCAGACAGTATAGCATGGTAGTGTTTTACTATGAGTCAACTCAGTTGCCGAGGTATGAATATTGGCTCTGTCCCTCCTAGGCTGTGTAGTTAGGGCAAGTTACTTAACCCTTTTGTGCTTCAGGGTTTTCTCCTCTGTAAAATGGGGTTAAGAATATTTGAATCATAGTATTGTCATTCAGATGAAATGACAGTTGACCTATGACAGTTACTATATACCAGACACTAGTCCATGATTTCACATATCTGCCTTTGCTATGGTATTTGTTGTTTATTGGGAAACATTCAGGGTAGGTCCACCATGACTAAAAGTACCCATCAGACTTGTAGGGGTGCTGCGATAGCAAGCCCTGCCCTTCACTAGTGTAATAACTGAGTCCTTCTCTGAGACACAAGAGGTAGAAAGACCTATATGTTCCTCTAAATCAAGATGGACAGGGATGCTCAGGTTGACCAAAAGAATTAGACTCTGGGGTTTTCTGGAGTAGGTCTGGGAAGAGAAAATCCTAGATCCTGGCACAGTGCGGTTCCTCAAGTCTACCCTCTCTGCCACCCGTACTATTACCCATACTGTCACTCATTCTCAGCCCTCCCTGGCCACATAATCAACCTCCTACTGGCCTGATGCCCCCAGTCTAGCTCAAACAGCCCATCTGGCTCCTGCTCCAGTGAACTTCTCATTGTACATCTGAATGTGTTATGTCTCCTGCAGTGGCTCTCCATTGCTTCATAGTAAAGCCCACATACCCCGGCTTGGAGCTAATCACCTCCAACATCACCTCTAGCCTCACTTCCATTTGTCCTTCTTGGTCCCCTCCCACACTCCTATGGACCTTGTGTTCCAGCTTTGCTACGCTGCTCTTCATTGTAACTTCCTTTGTGATGCAGAGGTAACTCCTTCGTAGGGCACTGTATATCTCAGATGAACACAATGACATCTGCTGTAATGAGCCTTTTTGCACTTTTCTCCACTTGGGTCAGGGGTCATGCCACCCAGAGCTGGGTACAGCTGCAGGCAAAGGTGGGTTGATGAAATATGCACATATACATGTTTTTGAGGTGAGGTTAGGATACTTCCTTGATGCATGAGCTAGAAGACCCAAAGACCCTGGAGAAATTGATTTGAAAGATTAATACATGCCTGAAAGCAGGATGAAATTCTGAGCAAAACATCCATATTTTAGTTGTGGGGTCATATGGGTTAGGTTCAAAATTTTGTGTCTTTCACATATTTGCTCAGTCATTCAACATTCAATCAACAGGTATTAACAAGGTACCTACTATACACACAAGATACTAGAAATACCAAAACGCATCAGATGGCTCTTGTGTGAGGCAGCTTGCAGACATCAACAAACCAGAAGATCTGTCAAGGGGAAGAGGTGGGCTCTGTAGAGCACACATGCGGATCGACTCAGGTGTACAGGCCAGAAAAATTTTCTATAAGAAGTTGGTGGCTTAATCAGCTTCTTAACTAAGCTCTTTATGGGCCTCTCAATATCCCTATAATTCCCATCTCATCCCTCAGAAGTATGATTAGTCTCCCTACCACTGTCCTCCTTCCTTGCTAGCTTATTGCTTTTCTTCAGAATCAGCAGGCATGATTCTGTCAGAGGCATTAGCACTGGTCATTCCCCATGCCTGCATGTGTGTCCCCAGATAATGGAGTGGTTTGCTTGCTCAATTCCTCCAGCCCTCTCTTCCATTGTCAGTCACTGCTCCAGACAGCCCTTCTGTGATCACGCTGTCAGCTTTCCACGTCCACTGGCTCACTTTTCTTCAGAGCACTCATCACCAGACAGCATACTGTTCTTTATTTACATGCTTATCATCTGTCTTCCCCAGCTGAATGGGAGCTCCACCAGAGCAGAACTGTTCCCTGCTTGCTCACAGCTGTGTCCCCAGCACCAAGAAGTTGGCCTAGGCCATTAGCTATGACAAAACCATAGTGAATGCATGCATGTTGTGTGCCTATCCCCACACTGCATCTGGGTAAAGAGACCCTCCCTTGCCTCCAAAAACCCACACAGTTCCCAAAGAAGAAGCATTCAAACCATGAGACTCCTCAGCAGAGGAGATAAAAGGAAATGTACTGCTCAGTTGGGCTTCTCTGGGGATTTGCCAAGAGCTAGTGCAGAAAACTTCCTAACCTTAAAAGAACTTTGAGTTCATTTAAGTCCCACCTACACAGCATGCAGATCAACTGTAACCAGCACTGGGCCTGCCTCCATCTGTCTGTGAGCAATGGGAAAGAGGTTTGCATCCAAAACGCATTCATCTCACTCTGCACTCCTGCATCTGTTACTTACTGTGGACCTAGATACCATATTTATTTCTAGGCTGGCAATTTATAACAGATTCAAGTGGCCAATACATTTTCGGGTGTGCAAACAAACCCACCAGCAGGATAGTTCAGGCCACAGCCTCTGGAGGCCCAGACGGGGCTGGCCTCATCCAGTTTAAATACAGTCATTTTAATGAATCACCAAGATCTACTTGTGGAAAAATGATTCTAACATGAGCAGTGAGCTCTTTGGAGAGCCAGGAGAGATTCTGGCTGATGTGGAGACCAGGGTGAAGGAGTGAGCACTGGGAGAGAGAGAGAGAGAGAGAGAGAGAGAGAGAGAGAGAGAGAGAGAGAGTGTGTGTGTGTGTGTGTGTGTGTGTGTGTGTGTGCGTTGCCAGGAGTCCCCAGGGAGGCCCCAGGAATTTAACTTTGCTGTAGTATATACCATGTTGACAATTAATGTGATTCCTCCACTTTCCGACCTATAGAAATAACTCCATGCAAGCAGGACTGGTGGTCTCTTTCTTCATTTTCCCTATGTTCTTTTCTACGCTCTGCTCTATGCAGTGAGAGGCTGACTATGAATGCACCAGGGGCCTCCCATGGTCTCCTGTTTTGAGGTGCATTTAGCCAACCAGGAGTAGGAACAGAGGTAAAGAGCCCAGCAGGAGGTTGAGGCAAATGCCCTACGGCCCTCCATGCCAGGTCAGCATGGGTTCCCCTTGTCTCTCTATGAAGGGCTACATATTCTGTCAGGCAGTCCTCTCCTTACAGAGACTCTTGCCCCTTGTCCAGACCTAGAACTATTTACAGCTAGCTCTCTCACCACTGCCAATCCCCAGTCACAACTACCCTACCCCGCTGGTTTCATTCAGTCCTGCTCGCACCCTTATTAAACCTTCCTTGGTTACCCACTTTGAGTGAGCCCATTTCCTTTTGGGACCCTGATGGACACTTTATATTAGTTATCATGTAAATATGGGCTGGTACTATTATTCCATTTTATAGATATCAAAATAAGTGAATAGCCACAGTCAGAAGCTAGTGATCAGAAAGGCCTGGATTCAGCAGACAAAACAAGCACTGAATTTATGATTTTCATCTTGTTGGCCGTTGATCCTAAGGGCACTGAGACATCCCTTCCCAGGGTCCAGCATTCCTTCTTTTTTTGGTACCAGGAATCAAACTCACAACCTTGCTCTTTCCAGGCAGGCACTGTACCGCTGAGCTATATCCCCAGTCCCAGTATTACTTTTTAAGACAGCATGCAGCAGAGGCTCCGTGGCCTGTCTGAACACTCCATGTTTTAGTAAAAGTGGGAGGAATTTGGGAGTGTTCTAGCCAGGCAGAGGATTACTGTCCAGTTGTGTGCTCTTGGACAGTGTTCTTAATCTGTACAACACCAGCATTTCTTTTTTCTGACCACAGTCAGACACTCATTTAACTGTCAGTTGATAAATGCCAGACAGATACCACAACTCAGGCATGTGAGATTCTGTGTAGGCAGGGGCGTACGAGGATTGTCACATCCAAGCCCAGCCATGGATAAGATAAAGAGAAAAAGAAGGAACCACTTCAACCTGGATGGACATATTCTGATCAACATGTGCTGACAAATACAAGATGGTTTCAGGGAGTGGGCACAGGGAGAGAGCAAAAGCGCTGGACGGGGAGTCATTCTGATGTGATTGATTCCTATCCTGGTTCTGCCACTGAACAGCTGCGTGGCCTTGCACAAGCTCTGGAATCTCTCTCAACTTCAGCTGGAAAATGGGAGTGCTGAGACCCACACTGAAGGGTTATCCAGAAGTATTGATAAGTGGACACATTTAAAGCATCCATCATAGGGCTCTGGAGTGACTCATTAGGAGCCACTGCTATTGTCACTACTTACTATTATTAGTAAATGTAGCAGGATACAGTTGGGGACACTCCTGGTTCAAATTCCTTCCCTCTTTCCATCGGATCCTTGCAGTATCATTCTGGATATGTCACCTAACCTTAAGAGCCTGGGCTTACTCTCTGGAAATAGGTAACAGTGGCCTTTTCCTGGTGAGATTGAGGAATTAGTGAAGGTTATGTTGGTACATGAGAGAAGATCAATAACTGTTCGATTACCCCAAGCCATTCTTCCTGGCTGGCTCTTTGTCTATGGCAGGACTGCAGTGTCATTTCCTGTAGGTGACCTTCACTGGCCACTCCCTACATGTATCTCCTGCTTCTTGAGGCTCAATTTTCCTGCTTGACCCCCTTACCAGACTGAGAGCTGCTTAGGTCAGAGAACCTGGTCTGAAAGGTCAGTATTTCTAGTACACCATGGAGGTAAGCTTGGTGTTTGTGAAATAAGTAATAGATTCACGACAGAGAGTCTGATGACATGACGATGAATGCTTATAACTCTGGTCTGGCTGGAGACACGCTACTCAAAACTGACCACCTCCTTGTGAACTGCCAGAGAAAGGCCATGATGACAGAGACTGTCCCTCTTTATCTCCAGTGAAGATCCAGCCCAACCTCTTGGCCACACAGGCTCTTCGTTAATCTAGGTCCAGCCAGGAAATAGGAAACACTCCAGGTGTTTCAGACAGAGGGATTTAGCATAAGGACTTGGTCACACAGATAAAAGAGAAGACAAAATGCCAGATGGAAGAATGGGGCAACCTTATGATTGGCAACAGCAGGAGGCTAAGACCATCCTCAGGTCTGGGACAATGAGAGACACAGAATTTGTTAGGGCCCAGAACTTGGAACTGTGGGCAAGGGCCAACGGAGGTGGGACCACAGTGGGCCTGAGTGAAGGAAGCTGAAGCTGCAGATGTGGCACAGCCACACCTGAAGCTACTACCCAAGGAAGGGAGAGAGGAGGGGGGATAAGCTGGCCTTTCTCTTCCCACTGTCCTCTGATCTTCTATCCATGCCTCTCACTGAGGGAGTCAGATCCCTACACCCCCACACACTGCACACACGCTCACATATACACAAATATCCTACTTACAATACAAAGTGGACCAGAGAATGACAAGAAATAGGTCTCAGGAAACAAAGACCCTTGCAAAGCTCAATAAATATTTGCTAAATTAATGACTCATTTACCCTAGCCTAAATTATGAGAAAATTCACAAAGCATACCACTGGGTTTTATAGCTTATTGATAAATACATCTGGAAGTCTGAGAAACCAGTGCAGATCTCTGAGCCATTCTTCAAGACCCTTAGGCTCTTATCTGAGGTACAGAGAAGCCTGGCTTGAATCAGTGATGCAGGGATGTCCATCTTAGCATAGTCATGCTTAAGCTTTGCAGCTTCTGGTTGAGTTAAGTGCCTTCCTCAGTAATTTCTGGAATACTGAACAGGCTTCTTCCTTGTTAATTGTCTTAATTCCAGAATCTCCTCTCTCTACTCTGCCTTGTCCTTGGCAGCAAGTAAGTCATCCCACAACTCAGTTCTCAACTAATCGCCTCCTTGATTTCTTGATCATAAACTTTCTGACCTCCTAAATTTGGCCATCGAAGCCATCCATAATCTAGTAGCAGCAATACTTTCCATTGTCGCCATCATAGTTCCCATCATATATTCTCCAGTCCTCTCCCACTGCGCTGCTGCTTCCTTCCTTCCCAGCTGCTCCATCGTGGTTTGTGCTGTTCTGTCTAATCAGAGGCCCATCTTCCCCCTCTTAGATTTCAAATTCTACTTGTGCTTGTAGCTTTGCCTTCACATCACATTTTGCACTCCTAAAGGAAGAATGGAAGAGGTAATGCTTTTCCTCCCTCTGAATCCCTGAAGCATTTTATCTGAACCTGTGACACAACCACTTTCTAGCTTGCCCTGGAATCACTGATGTGCACAGCTTATCTCTGTTCTGAGGTCTTAGGATAGAAACCATGGGAGTTTCAGCTTTATGGCTCCTAAAATATCTACCATACAGTCAACATTTAAAAGTTTTTGTTGCCTTAATGGCTGCACTTTCAAATGAATGAATGAATGATTGTACAGACATATATACGAATGAACACATGAGGTGAAGAAGTAAGACCAGAAATTGCCCTGGAATCCCACAGAGCAGCTACTGCAGCCTGCCTGAAAGAAGATGCAGCCTTAGGTAGGTGATCAACTTGAGTCATGCAAATCAGGAAGAAGTTAGATTGGTCTGAACATGTTCTGTAAGGGTCAGCTTCTGGGGAACAGTGGGGAACAGTCACAGATCTTGAGCCTGCACAGCCAGCCCCAGACGTTAACTACCCAGCCCTATCAAGATGCTCACATCAATGTAGTTGGCGTTGATATAGTCTGAGTGTGGGTCTCCATCTAGCACCAGCAGCCTCACCCGGGAATGGTCATCTGCAGGGAGAACAGAAAGCAAGGGATGGTGAGTAAGAGAACTTTGAGGGGAGAAACCAGCAATCTCTTCTTTTAGAGAACCTACTGCATACCAGGTACCATGCCCCTCCATTAACCCTCAGCAAGGCCCTCAGTTATGATTCCTATTTACCGATGAGGAAGCTGAGGCTCAGGAAGGTTATTAGTCTGAAAAGGGACCAGAAAGTACTCTCTCATCTTTTCCCTCACCTTCCCTTTTCATGCTGATTTTATTACTTAATTGAGTGAGTCACCTCCTGCACAATTCTTAGTGATTTCATTATTAACAGGAGGATGGAAATATCTGCTTCATAGAGCAATACAAGAGAGACCATATAAATATACTCAGGACATGAAAGTATTGAATCTGAATTAATATGCTCCATTTTCATGCTTGCTTAAAAACAGTAAGCTTATCCGTTTTCTTCATTGCACATATTGCTTTTCTTTCATCTGTTGGAGTACTGTTACAAACAGATCGCCAGCCATGTATATTATCAATACTATCATTAAAGTGAGGCTGACTAAGTCATTATAAAAGAGGTTATCAATAACTAAAAATTGTGTTACAGAGGATACCTCTTCAAACACAATCTGGGCATAAACAAGACTTACCGTATTTATTCAATAGCATGTTTACTTCAAATAGCACCAAATGAAAATCACAGAAGCATTAGGATGATCCTTTACAATTAATTACAGTGAGCTCTGACACACTAATTAACCCATGCAAACAGAAGATCCTAATTGGATCTGGTGGGGAGGAGGCCCTGAGATTGCTACCCAGATTACTGAGCAAATGTTAACATACAATCACGGCACCCACCAGCCACTCCATCTTATTCCAGGGCAGGTGTAGCAAGTAGGTTGGAGAGCTCTGGGTGTCCCTAAGGGTTCCCAGGGGTGAAGGAGGTCAAGCTAGTTTATTCTGTTAAACTTACACAGCTCTCTGTGGCTTATAAAGATCATATATTGCTACTAACTGAAACTCTCTTGAAGGCAGGGACATTCTCAGGCTTGTTGCCTGTTTCATACCCTGCACGTCCAAAAGGCCCTGGCATGTGGCAGGTACTCAGTAAGTACTTGATGAATGTATATTGGATCCTTACAATGATCTGGTGAGAGTAGCAGGATAGGTCTGGTCAGTGTTCGTTACAAATAAGGAAACTCAGGCTCATAAAGACTGACAGGCTATATGGCCAGTGAATGGTGGAACATGGAAGAATGAAGTCCTCTTAACTCTGGAGGTTAGATGACTTCTGAATGGGGTCTAAATAGCACGTTAGAAACCATCACAAGGATACATAACCAAGGGGATTATTTACAGAGACATAGTGTGGTTGATGGAAGAGTTGAGAAGCCAAATGAGAGAAAAATATAGCTTAAAGATAAGCCACAAGAAGACATTGCTTCTCCTAGGGCTGCAGGGACAGTGGAAGGAAGTGGATTTTCCTAGAGCTTGGGAGCTGGGGCCACCTGTTGGAGTTGGGGCCACTTACGCTTCTCTGGTGGGAGCTGGACGTGAGGAGGTTTCCTGCTGCTAAGAAGGTGACTGACGGGGGCATAGGCGGAAATACCCTTTCTCTTTCTTAGTACTTGCACACTCGTGCATGTCATTGGTCAAACCCAGCCGCAATCTAGCCAAGGAGAGACTAGGAAACACTGATGGCAGAGGTCAGCGCCCTCTGATGCAGAGGTATGTGTGTATGGGTGGTGGTGGGAGGGATTGGGTTCCACTGGGACAAATGGCCAGGACTGGCAGAGGTTACCATCCCATATCTATAGAACATCTGCCACGTGGCTGAAACTACTCGAAACAGTGGACTATACTGGATCCCACTTTGCATGTTCAACACAGAAAAGGATTTCAGTGGAAGCAACTAGCAGTAGAGAGGAAATCTAAGTAGTACCTTTGGGTGGGTCAGGAAGTCAAGTGTGAGATGGGGAAGGAGCCTGAAGTTAAGATTTACTGAGTTCATCGTAAGTACCAGAGACTATAAATATCACAATCATTTATCAACTCAAAACAGCCCCATAACTTTTGTAATATCAGCATGTGTGGTATTCTGATACTTCCGCTTCCACCAATGAAGAAACTGGGTTTCAGAGAGAATAAGTAGGTTCCCAAGTTACACAGTCTCTCTCTCAGTCCATGTGACCCTGAAGCCCTGCTCTGCAAGCTACAGTGCTCTGCCCAGGGACCTCGGTTATCTCACAGGTACTGCCGCTGAAGTCAGTGCAAATGTTGGTCCCTGGAGCCTCAGTATTCTAGCCTGAGAGAAGGGGACCCAGCGGGTCGGGATTCAGAAAAGGCCTGGGAACTGATTTAAGCCCTGTTACCAACAGTTATAGAAGCTGTCAGCCTTTAAAAAGTGAAAATGCATATTATGTTTTCACTCAGCGGTCTCACTAATGACTTATTGATTCAAAAATCTCCTTTACTTGTTGAGTTATGCCTGCCCCTAGGGTTCATATCACAGGAAACAGAAATCCTGGTTTAAAATGCGGAAAGAGACTTTATATATATATATACATGTGTATATATATATATATATGTATATATATATATATATATATATATATATAAAATGAGATTTAAAATGGGAGCAAAAATAATTAAAAATGAAACAAAAAAACACAAACATTTCTTCTACATAAATATCCATAGAGATGGTAGGGGTGATGGTGTTTGCTGATGTCTCCTATTTAGCCATTTATTAAGAACACACTTACTGGCACCTACTATGTGCCAGGTTAACTGAAGGAAATAAAGTGTTACTGAACATGAGTCTGGAGCTTAGGAGTTTGTTAATTTGGGGCAGGGGATGGAAAATACACAGAAGTAAAACTTCAAGGTCTAGAAAGTGAGAGGTAGAGGGCTTCCTGTAGTGACATGTGAATGAAGAATTAAAAGTAGATGAGGCTTGATGGGTTGACAGTGAGAAAGACTTTCCATCAGAGGGGACAGCAAGAGTGAAGGTAGATATGTGGAAATAGCAAGCACTCAGGAGAAGACACAAAGAGTTCTCTGTCCCGGGACACCCAGTGTGAGGGATGGGCTGAGGGGGCTGGGTTAGTGTGCAGGGGTTTTGCCCGGCCACATTAGGGCTGTTTGACTACAGTAGTGGGCTGGGCTCTGTAGAGCATCCTAATAGTGTCTCTTTTCTGGGCCCACAGAAGGTTATTTTAGTATGAAATAACCAAAGTTCATCTCTTTCTGGGCTGACCTCTGGCAAGAGGAATACACTTTGAACATGTACAGTTATGAAGCAGTGGGTCAGACCTGGAGGTAGATCTTGGCTCCATCATGCAGCCAGCCAACTGATATCTCTTAGGTGTTCATCCCTTAGCAAAATGAGCCAATACTATCTAGCTCTCAGAATGGTGGGAGAAGCAAATGAGAAAACGTAGGCATGACAAATGCTAGGATACTAAGAGAACGAAAGGCAAGCAACAGAGTGGCAGAGAAACCCAATCTGATAAAGGATGTGTACCCAAAATAGGCAAAAGAACATTGAAGCTTATAAGTAAGAAGACAAATAGCCCAAGTATATCAATCTAGGTAGGCGTTTCATCAAGAAAGATACACAGATGACAATCATATGAAAAGATGTTCAACATCTTGTGTCATTAGGGATTTGCAAATTAAAACAATGGTGAGATATCGCCACAAACACGTTGGAATGGTCAAAATCCAAAACATTGACAACACCAGATGCTGGAAAGCCTGTGGCATAACAAGAACTCTCATTTATTATTGGTGGGAATGTAAAGCAGCACAGTTGCTTTGAATGACAGTTTGGCAGTTTCTTACACAACTGCTTTGCCATGCTGATTAGACTCTTTGGTACTTACCCAAATGAACTATAAACTTAAATCCACATAAAAACCTGCACATGCCAGGTATGGTGATGCATGCCTATAATACCAGCACTTTGAAGGCTGAGGCAGGAGGATCAGCACAAGTTAGAGGCCAGCCTGGGTTACAAAGTGAGTTCAAAGCCAGCCTGAACTGCATAGTGAAGCCCTATCTCAAAAAAAAGACAAAATAAAAAAACCCGCACATAAGTGTTTATAGCAGCTTTGCTCCTAACTGCAAAAACTTGGAGGTGACCAAGATGTTCTTCAATAAGTGAATGGATAAATACAACTGTGGGGCTGGGGATATAGCTCAGCAGCATAAGCACCTGTGTGGCAAGTGCAAGGTCCTGAGTTCGATCCCCGGTACCGCAAAAAAAAAAAAAAAAAAAAAAAAAGATAAATACCACTGTGATATATCCATACAGTGGAATATTATTCATTGATAAGAATAAGTTAGTGATCATGTCAAGGAAAACACAGAGGAAGTTTACATACATGTTTCTAAGGAAAGAAGCTGATCTCGAAAGCCTACACACTGTGATTTCAGCTACATGACCTTTTAGAAAAAGAAAACCAATGAAGATAATAGAAAGAAAATCGCTGGATTCCAGGGGCTTGAAGGAGGAGAGAGGGTTGAATGGGTTGACCACGGGTAATTTTTAGGGCAGCAAAATTACTTTTCATAATATGATAATGGCAGATATGTCATTATGCACATGGCAAATTCTGTAGGATTGTGTAACATAAAAGTGAACCCTAATGTAAACTATGGGGGGCTGGGGATTTAGCTCAGCGGCAAAAGCACCTGCCTGGCAAGCACAAGGTCATGAGTTCAGTTCCCGGTACCGGAGAAAAACAAAAAACAAAAAACAAAACAAAACAAAAAAAGTAAACTATGGACTTTTGGTAATAATAATGGATCAATATTGATTCATCAACTACAGCAAATGTACTGCCCTAATGCCAGATGTTAATAAGAGGGGATACAGTACATAGGTAATGGGGAGTGCATGAGAACTCTATACTTGCGGCTCAGTTTCTCTGTCTACCTAAAACTTCTCTAAAAGAGAGTGCACGGGCAGTGCCTGGCACACAGCAGGTGCCTAATAAATGGTTGTTTA